AAATAAAGTCGTCGGGGCGGAGGGGGCGGTGCGCTGGGGTGCTGGGGAGCGACACATAGCGACGCATGTCGACACAACGCCGAAATAGGGCGACGACGACGCCGAAATAAAGTGGTCGGGGCGGCGAGGGCGGTGCGCTGGGCTGCTGGGGAAAGCGACACATGTCGACACAACGCCGAAATAGGGCGACGACGACGCCGAAATAAAGTGGTCGGGGCGGAGAGGGCGGTGCGCTGGGCTGCTGGGGAAAAGGACCGGGGGGGGCGACGACGACGCCGAAATAAAGTGGTCGGGGCGGAGGGGGCAGCGCGCTGGGCTGCTGAGGAGAGGGAGAGGGGGGGGGGAGGGCGACGACGACGCCGAAATAAAGTCGTCGGGGCGGAGGGGGCGGTGCGCTGGGGTGCTGGGGAGCGACACACAGCGACACATGTCGACACAACGCCGAAATAAAGTGGTCGGGGCGGAGGGGGCAGCGCGCTGGGCTGCTGAGGAGAGGGAGAGGGGGGGGGGGGGGCGACGACGACGCCGAAATAAAGTCGTCGGGGCGGAGGGGGCGGTGCGCTGGGGTGCTGGGGAGCGACACATAGCGACGCATGTCGACACAACGCCGAAATAAAGTGGCCGGGGCGGAGGGGGCAGCGCGCTGGGCTGCTGAGGAGAGGGAGAGGGGGGGAGGGCGACGACGACGCCGAAATAAAGTCGTCGGGGCGGAGGGGGCGGTGCGCTGGGGTGCTGGGGAGCGACACATAGCGACGCATGTCGACACATATCGACATATAGAGACATATATCGACACACACATATCGACGCATAGCGACACACAGCGACACATAGCGACGCACACATGGAGACGCATAGCGACACACAGCGACACATATAGCGGCACATGAAGGGCACAAGGCACACAACGACACATATAGCGACACATGAGGCGCACAAAGCAGCTGGGGGGGAGCGACGACGACGCCGAAATAAAGTGGTCGGAGCTCATTAGACACCCTGTGCAAGAGAATAAAACAACGAATATGCGCGGCGCTAAAGCGAGAGCCACGTTTTGGAAACGGCCCGCCCGCAACCCGTGAAACTCTTGTAACATTTCAAATCGAATGTACGCGGCGCTACGGCGAGAGTCACATGTTGAAAACCATGGCCCTCCATCTGTGAAGCTGTTGCCACTGTAGGAGGAGGGGGAGGAGGAGGAGGAGGTGGAGGGGGAGGAGGAGGAGTGGGAGGAGGAGGAGGCGGAGGAGGAGGAGGCGGAGGCGGAGGCGGAGGAAGAGGAGGAGCGAGCGAGCCGCAGGAGAGGCGTCCGAGTGACGAACACCAACCGCGCGTGAGACCTGAGAGCCACAGGGGTGGCGGAAAAGGCGAAAGCCTGGGAGAGGGTGGGGCGCCTCAGGAAAACCACACCCTAAAACCTCCCAGGGTCCAAAGGGCAACACTAGGGGGCAGGGTTCGGGCCAGAACGCGCCGCACCTGCCCCTCGCTGGCGGGGCTCCAAGCCACGGGTGATTCTGTCGATCGCCGTGTGCTGGTTAGCCCGTGTCTTTGGATTCTCCGAAAACCCTTGGCACAACGCCCGCAGTTTGCGGGCGGACCTGAAGGACTCGGACCCGTTGAAATTGCCCCCGCACTTGCGGCAGCAATAACGGAATTAACACAGAAAACGTCATGCCCCAATTCAGCGAATTCGGCAAGCACTGGTTGGGGAGCGTCGGCCGAGCCACTGGCAGCATGCACCTGCTCCAGCGGCTGAGGAGGGACCGCGCCAAGCCCCGAGGAGGCCTCCAGAGGCCCAGACGTGGACCCCAAAATCCTATCGGCCGCCTCGATGGCAGCCGTGACCCTAGAGTCCGAAATACTAAGCCACGCCTCAGAACTCCGCAGGAAGAAGTCATCGGCCAGGCTCTGGACCAGAGGCGAGGGAGCACACACACGATCAGCTCCCGAGCGAAGAGTATGGAGGGTACTCGCACTTCGAGCGACTCGATTGCACCGACGACACCGATACTCAGACAACCTCTGGCAGAAAAGCAACTCGTGGTCCTGGGGCCTCTCGAAGACCACGCGCTTGGGCACCTGGGCAAGCTCTGGGTCCCGCTCCACGATAGGATCCGTTCCCCACTTCCGAAACTGAACCACCTGGAAGGCCGCCCAAGACACATGCTGCAAGACCTGCTTGTGCTGCTTCAGCGCAGCGGCCAAACTATCAGCCACTGTTTTAGACACCATGTGTGCAGCACTGCCGCACTTCGCGAAGAAGTCGGCCCAGGCATTGCCGACGAAGGCCTCCAGCTCGTCTGGCGTGGCCGACTCGATGATGTCCTCCAGCTTCCTGTGAGCTGGAGTCCACTGAAACCGCACTGGTGGCAGACGTGGATCGCGTGCTCTGGCAGCCGAAAAATGTCTCTCCAGATTCGGGCGTGCTTCGCTTTGCCAAACTCGAGCTTCTGGTCCCAGGACGTGCCCTCCTCAACGAGCGATTTCAGATCAGAAATGAAAACCTCATGCCCAGGATGCTTCTGAAGTCCCATCTTGATGGCATAGCGCTCAGCACGGCCTACCGTCTGCACATAGTAGGGCAAGGGCCCATATACAGCTCTGGCGGGGAGCCACGTGACGGGGTCCAACTGGCAGACCGACCAACCACACCTACGTACTTCAGGAATGCTGGCCGAGAACCCCGAACCGTCAGTATAGGATGTAGGCCCCCAGGAGCCTGAGACATCTCCCCACTCAAAAACCTCATTGGAGACCGTAGTGTAGTGCGGCACAGCAACAGGCTCAGGAACCCCATAGATCAGGTACCTCTGGTCCCAGTCGGTGCACCCCAGCAGCTGCCCAGACGCCTGAAGCATGTCTCGAACCTCCTGAAGCTGTTCTGGAAACTCATAATGTTCCTGGTCGGGGTCCCCTTCGAGGAGCGGCGGGCAGTCGTAAAAGATATGACCCCAACAGGAGTCGATAGCCTTGCCACAGGCCTGACAAGGCCTAATGGGCCTCCCATGCTTCATGTCCCGACGCGGTGGGATGGGGAGATTGTCTGCCCACAAAGCCTGCAGCGCTCCGAGGCGCCTGTGACACTTTATCTTGGCGAGCGAGTGGCGTAGCGCACGATGCCACGCATCCGCCTGCTCGGTGTAAAAATGCTGCTGCAACCTATGGTGCTGCCAGCGCTGGATGCCCTGATGCAGGAACACTCGCAGGTCTGCTGGACATATACGATATACATCAAAACTATTTCCCAAATCGTCGACCAGGATGTGCTCTGACGACATAGTCCAGGAGATACGCCTCAAAGTAAGCCAAGTGGCCCCGAGGGGCCCTCGCGCCTTAGACCAGGAAGGTGAACTCTCAAACTTAGCACCCAGACTGACCCAAGCCTCCCGAAGTCTGCTAGGTTGCACACGCCCGTCCCAGATCCAGGAGGCATATTTGAGCACAATGTCCGTGGTGGCGTTATATATGGGGTCATAGCATTCATCCCGATGAGATATGAGATGCGCTGTTACCCCAACCATCGTCTTACCTGGAGCACCATTTAGGACCGCAGCACAATGTCGCAACTCACGAAGGGCGCTGTCACTAACTCCAGCAACTGCACCGCCATGCGCCACTGATGGAAGGGCGCCCGTGCGCCACAGGCTGGTAGCACTCCGCCCCGCGGCGGACTTCAACATGCGAAAACGATGCTTGCGCTCACGAAACTGCACCAGCCTACGCTTCTCCATCTGCCGAAGAACTCGAGGTCCTGTGAGCTCGTGTCCCAGATTCCTCATGTGGGCCCTGTACGGGATCTTCAAGGTTCCCAGGTGCCTCTTGAGCTGCCCCCAAACCTTTTGGGCCCCAGGGATACATCCAGACTTCGGCGGCTTCAGGACCAACCCGAGATCACCAGCGTCAGTCGTGAACGCCTTGGCCGCTCGGGCCAGGTTGGACACCTCCCTCAAGACGGGCGACACGTACTGCAGGCCCACATCGTCCATGAGCGTGCGTGGCGTGATAGTAGGTGCAATATTGGCCGCGCGCTGGACCGCTCGGTACGTGAGGAGATATAAAAGATAAGTGGCGTGCGTGCAGCCCGCAAGAATACCCTGACGGGCCACCGAGGGCCTGGAGACGGACCCAAAACACTTGATCCTTCTCGGCTGGCGGTAGGAGCCCAGGTGCAACCACAGGAGCCTCAGCGGGTACCCGAGCTCTCTGGCTTCTCGGAGAAGTGCACTGTGACTGACCATATCGAAGCACTTGGTCATGTCCAAGAGAATGGTGCATGTGTGCTCACCTAAAAGTTCTCCTATCTCCTGGCTCAGGTTGCGGTCGAAGGCTGAATCGGTCGAAGTCTGCCCAGCCCTGGACCCCCACATATGTTCGCAACTGTGAGCCTCTTGCCACTCCGCTGAAAGCGGCCGACGAAGCTTTCCCCACAACTTGACGAAAGTATTGCTGAGGACGATCAACCTAGTGTCCCCGTCAGGCTTGGGCAGGCGAACAAGCTCGTTGTAGAGCCTGTCCGTGGGCCAGGCCAGCCAACTCTCAAACTGCATGAACATGTCAGCCAGGCAGTGCAAGGCCTGGTCGGACAGCACATCGAGCGTGCGTGGCGCGATCCTCGTCTGGCCCGAGGCCGTCTTCAATGGGAAAGCTTCTGATGGCTCCACGCACCTGCGATGCAGACAAAGGCGGAAGCAAAGGCCACTGAGCATGATCGACAGGCAGCGGCAGAGGGCATGCACCGTGGTACGTCCAAACGTCCCTCCACTTGTCGAGCGTACGGTCAGCCATCTGGTATGGCTGAGCGTCAGGGGAGTAGGCGAGCACCTCCTGTCGAGCCCGAACCTTGGAGGACGAATGCGCCCGAGATGCTCCTCCCAAGAAGGCTTCCTTGGCCCACTGCCGCCAAGCCCTCTCCGACGCTCTTTGCGCCGTTCTCAGATGATAATCAGCTCTGGCAATGATGGCATTGGCTACGTCCTCAAAGTCAGCCTCGACCAAGCCAGTCAGCCCTCGCCGAAAGAAACCTGCGAAGGCAGCGTCCAAAACACACAGCACCTGCACTGACCGAGCCACACGTCCATAAAAGGCAGCCACTTCATTGAAGGCCACGACGACCTTGGTGTACTGCAGCGGCGTGATGGCGCAAACGGCGGCACACAGCTTGAGGCGCTCGATGTACCTCACAAGCCGCTTCTTCTCGGCCACAAGGTGCTGGGCCCAGCGCTTCGCCGTGGCCCAGGCCAGCACAGTCGGCTCCTTGTAGGTACGCCTGCGCGGCGGTTGCCATGACAGGTGCTGCCACTTGAACTGCGGCGGCCCCTCGCGTCCGATGTACTGCATGGCCTTGGCGCCTACGCAGTCGCAACGCCCTGCCAGCTCGTGGTCCACCCCTCGCAGCACAGAGTCCCAGAGCGAGCTCAGGTCGTCGGCACTGCTGACCCGTTGGAACTCTGTCTGGAGCATCTGCCACGGGTAGGGATGCCTGGCACAGCCAACTGGCGGCACCACCGCAAAAAGGTCGCGGCTCCACAGGGACACGGCACCACGTGGGGCGATCCTCTCCCACGAGCTGCAGCTCCACAGGGAAGTGCGGCGGCGGCACGACCGTGGAGTCATACTGGACCTCTGGCTTGCCCTTGATGCGAGACGCTAAGTTGGCACAGACAACAAAATAGTCTATGGTGCTCTTGCCCTCGTCGGTGATGCAGGTGCGCTGGTCGGGCACATAGTGGATGGCTGCCATGGTCTCGACCCAGTTGCGAACATTGAGCGCATCGATGTCGGCGTTCCAGTCACCGCCTGGGATCCAGTCGAGGCCCCGTGAGTTCCATGCTGCCACTCTCTGGGCCAAGGCCCACAACACCTCAATGTTTTCGCCCGAGATGCCAATGGACGTGACAAGATAAACACTGGCGACTATGATACCGCCAGCAACTCCCCAGTTAATCTGTGCACAGTCTGCTCGTCCTGGATAGATAATGTGCCCGTCATCAGGTGGGGCCGTGACCATAATGTACGTCGGCACGAGTACAGCGACCCCTCCGAAGTTGGACGTAGCTGAGTCACCCGTGGAGGGCGACGGGGCCCATAGCCCATGCCGTCCAGCGTCCAAGGCCCTGGCCTGAAACTCGCCAAGCCTAGGTTCGGTAATTCTCAACTCCTGTGCCAGCAAGATAGTTCCCCGATAAGTAGCCAAAAAGTCGAAGAGAGGGCCGTAGCTCGTAGCGTTCACCGTTGTGATGAGGCCTTTGAGCTGCGGCTGAGATACTGCATGCATAGGCTGCACCTTCACCTCCGTGCGCTCTGGCGGCAAAGGCGAAGTAGGTGCAGCGCGTTCTTGACATGACTTCTCGAAGCGTAATCGGGAAGAAGGTGGGGACGAAGATGGCGCATCCTGAAATGCGCCTTCACACAGATCTGCTTCCATATCAGGCTCGACGTCCTGAAAGAAGTCATCATCATCATCCAAAGTAGTACGCGCTGGGCCGCTCTGGCCCGAGGACGCCCCTAGCAGTCGGTACCCTCTGCCGCCTGGATTCTCCGAGGGCAAGGGCGGTGAGCGGTGCGTGCCGTCCGAAGACGGTCGGCACCCTCTGCCGCCGCTCCCCGAAGGTGAGGTCGGTGAGCAGTGCGTGCTGCCAGTGGCCAAACGCGCAGGCGTAGGCGGAGTGCCCCTCTGTGATGCCGTAGACGCCAAAGACCCAGCTGCAGGCGCAACCGACGTAGGCGGAGCCGCAGTCAAGGTCGGAGCTGCCCCCCACCCCGAGGAGCGGGCCGGTGGGGGGAATAATGTAGGCGCCGTAGTCCCAGCCGAGGTCCTGGTACTGGAAGCCGTTGTGGGCAGGGAGGTGTGACGATGAGGGGCTGAATCCCTCTCCCCCCTGCCCGAGATGCTCGCCGCTGTCGAAGATGACGGAGGCGCACTCTCAACATGTTGCGCTGATGTAGAGCTAGCCATGGTGACAAAGAGCCAAAGCAACAGCATATCAGGCCGAGCACGTTCACGCAGACGTCTTGGCCTTCTTGGCCACAGTGTCCGGGTAGCTCTGCTGAAGACGCTTGAACTTCTCGCGCGCGATGTCGGGGGTGTCGCTCTCTTCGACGTGGACCCCTGCTGCGCCCAACGTCTCGCGGTCATCCTGCTCAGACATCTCGATGTCAGGTGGCTCAGCACTAGCTTCAGCACCATCAGGATGAGCAGGTGCAGGTTCTGGCGGCTTGGCCTGGGGCAAGCTCTGCAGCTTGCTGACCGCGTCGGCCATAGCCTGCAGCTCCTTGACCATGTCGGCGCCGAGACCGAGGCCTGTTGCGACCTTGCCCAGCTGCTCCACACTGACCGCGAAGGTGGGCAGCAAGTCCGCAAGCGTCGGTGGCTGCGTGCCCTCGGGCGGCTGGACTCGCGACATGGCGGTGCGGGTCTGCTGCTCCAGGCGGAGGACCTCCGCAGCGGCCTCCTGCAGCTTGGAGTCCGTGTCGGCCAGGCCGCGGGTGAGCTCGTCAATCTTCTTCTGCTGCTCGTCACGGGTGGCCTGGATGGTAGCCTGTCGCGAACGGGCGGAAGACAGTCTTGACGCCAAAGACCTGGCCTGATGCTCGATGGGCCTGTCTTGAAAGAGCTCGGCGTCCAACCTCGCCCGCTCTTCGCGCCATTTGGCCACAGTGTCAGCATCAGCAGGGTCAGTAGTGACACGAAGCAACTGATCCAGCATCTTGATCCTGTTCCGCTTGGCGGTGTCGGGATCCCCTGGCGCAGCAGCCCATGGTGGGCTCGCACCTGTACCCGTAGTCGCTGGCCCATGCCCAGGGGGGTGCTCTCGGAGCTTGGTGAGCTGCGCCTCGGGCTCCTTGACCTTGGCCGCGAGCGACTGCTGCTTGGCCGAGACACTGGGCTGCGACGCTGCTTTGTTTTCCTTGAAACAGTTGCTCTTTTGCAGGCCGCACTTCTTACAGTAGACAAGGGTAGAGGCATTGAACCACGGCTGATTCGTGACGTCGTGCCTGCACCACTTGCAGTACCATGGCGAAGTATTGTCCTTGCGCGTCGGGGCCATCGTGGCGTCGATGTCGCAGGGACGAGCGGCGAGTGCCACGGACCAGAGGGCAGCCTGGCCGTGGCGTCAAAACTGATGAGGGAGCCCAACCCCTCGGTGTAGGCGAAAAGCTGTCGAGCGCAAACGCTCTGGCACTGCCGCGGACTAGCGGTATCCGTGAAAGCCAATACGGGCTCAGCCCGCAAAAGCATGAGCCTTGAGCCAAAACGGCTACGGAGGAGGAGGAGGAGGAGGAGGAGGAGGGGAGGACATCTAGTGCTAGTACGTCCTTCTGCGTCCTCGGCGGCGCCCTCCACGCGGGGTGCCTTCGTGGGGCCCTCGGGCCCTCGGCGAGGGGGCTCGCCCTCGTGGGTCCTCGGGGCTGTGCTCCGACCCTCGATTTTTTCCCCCAACCATCCTGTGGTGTTGGGTCCTTCTAGAAACGACAGCGCCCCGCGTTCCTCTCCCTCCTCTTCTCCTCCTCCCCCTCCTGCCTCCTCTTCCTCCTCCCCCTCCTCCACCTCCTCCCTCTCCCTCTCCCTCTCCCTCCTCCTCCTCCTCCTCCTCCTCCTCCTCCTCCTCCTCCTCCTCCTCCTCCTCCTCCTCCTCCTCCTCCTCCTCCCTCTTCCCTCTCCTTGCCCCGCATGCGTCCCCCACACCCATGTCGGCACACCCCTCGCGTGTTTTGTGGCCCCATGGGGAGCTCCACCGCCCCAGCGGCAGAGTTCGCACGCGGGTCCACCCCCCATTTCGCCACGCCCCTCAAACGCTTCGTGTTCGTGGCACCATAGGATGCTCCACCGAAGGCCCCAGTGGCAAAGTAAGCATGCGATTTCGTCACCATATGGGGAGCTCCACCGAAGGCCCCAGTGGCAGGGTTCGCATGGAGTTGCATCCCCACTTCGGCTCATCTCTCATATGTTTCGTCACCCAATCGGGAGCCCCACCGAAGACGATACTCCCAGTTACGGCGCTGACAACTGCATATGGGTGGGTCCTTCGCCAAGCGAATTTTTTCTCGATGCCGACCCCCCTCCCAGGCCTCTCGAACCCTTCGTGCGCCGCGTAATGGGGGGACGACACAACGGGGGGGGATTGTGCCCTGACGGGGCCCCCTCGGGCCCCAGAGGGGCCCGACGGGTGCACGCTTGCTCCTTCCCAGCAGCCTCTCCCCCGCCGCAGGGGATCGAGGGGAGATCGAGGGGTCGAGGGGGGGTCGAATGGGATGGAGGAGCGGGGAGGAGCGAGGAGGATCGAGGGGGGTGGAGGATCGAGGAGGATCGAGGATCGCCCCCCCCCCTCCCCCCCAATGAAGCCACGCCCGACCCAGGGCTCGTGCTTCGCATCCCGAGGCTCGCGCCCGGCCTCTGGAGGCCAGCAGTCGCGCCGCCCCCGCGGGCTCGACGCCACCGCCGCACGGCCAGCGCCCGCTCCGACGGGGCCGGGGGCCGCTGGCTGGGCGGCGGCCGGCCGGCCAGCGGCGCCTCGTGCGGTTCCAGACGGGACCCCCAGGGAAAGGGACCTTCGAGATGAGCGGTGGGAGGGAGGGAGGGAGGGAGGGAGGGAGGGAGGGAGGGAGGGCGTCCGCTCGGCCTGGCCTGCCAGGTCGTCGCACGGCGCTCTCGCCCGCACGTCGAAGTCTCAGGTGCAGCGCCGCAGTCTCAGAAGTGCCCTTCGCTGGCGCTCCTCTCTGGGAAACGCGTCAGGTGCTGACGCCGTCGCAGCCCCTATGGAAGATCCAGCAGGACCCAGCCCCTCCGTCGCCCCCGGGGGGGTCAGGATCGCTTAACCGACCCCTACAGTCGAGACTGATTGGGAAGTCGACCCAGCCAAATCAAGGGTACCCCTGTGTCCTGAGCTCGGCGACCCATGCCCTCTTACATTCCTATGGCAATGTGGCCCTCGGAAGGGTCTTATGTCCTCTCGCGTGCCCTCTCCAATAAACCCCGACCCCTATCCCCTTCCCCATCCCCATCCAGACCCCCACCATTCTGCCACCCCAGGGGGAATGTGCCCCTCGAAGCCCGAAGGAAGCGGCTCCATCTATGGGTGCAAGTCGGCCAGTGGGGCCGAGGCCACGCCCATAGGGGATAGGGGTCGGTGCAACTATGCTCAGGGAGGGTTGACGTTCGAGAACGCTTTGCGGCTTCTATGGGCGCTCCTGGACTATCAGGAGGGAGAAAAACACACAGACACAATTAAGCGACGATTCCCAGGGAAAGGTGCGAAAATATGGGAAGTGTGTGTGGGGGAGAGAGAGAGAGAGAGAGAGAGAGAGAGAAAACAAAAACCCAGAACATACATGAAGATATGCGACATTCTGGGATTTGTGTGTATTTATTCGTGGGTTTGTGGGCCCCTTCAGACTACCGCTGCCCTTCTCGGCTCAGGTACTGGAGGCACTGGAGTGAACAGCATCGAGGGATAAAGCTCTTCATCGCTGTCGTCCTTCCTCTACTTGCGGACCCCTTTCGGTTGGTTAGGTGCGTCGGTCCTTCCCTTCCGCCCACACAAGCGGACCCCGGGAGGGGTCCGAGGTTCTTTTGCCATTTTGTGGGGAGAGGGCCTTAGTTTCTTGCGCTCTTGTTCTCAGACCCCCCTCACATTGGGGCCTTCGTTTTGCGTGGAGCACCGCTCGCGCGTCTCCTCCCCTCCGCCTCCCTCCAGCCTTCTGCCTCCTGCGTCTTCTCTCTTGCATCCTGCTCGCGTCGCTGCTGCCTGGGTGCTGCAAGCTGCACAGCTGTCGCCGCCCTCGTGGGCTTCCAGGAAGCTCCGGCGGAGCGGAGTTGCGCGCCTGTCTCGGGAGACCTCGCGGCTCCCTGGGAGGGCTGCCAGCTGCGCAGGTGTCGCCACTTTCGTTCAGTGCTGGCATATGCTGACGAGACCGCAGGTGGAGCAGTGGGTCGACACGGCGGCGAGGCACTGGGACTCAGCGCTCAGAGGCTCGTCCTGCCTGAGGGAGGCGCTCGCGAGGGCGCTGCAGGACGAGTCCGCAGACGCCATGGCCATGTCCGCCGCGGTGACCCTGTCGGACATCAGCAGGTTCTACGACACGCTGTCGATCCCGACGGTGGCGTCGGCCTGTGAGGACCTGCAGTTTCCACCAAGAGTGCTAGCACTTGAGCTTCAAGTACATGCCGTGCCACCCCTACTTCGACAGGAGGGGGCCTACGGCAACCCATGCCAGGCCTTGATCTCGCTGCTAGCGGGGTCGAGGCACGCGAGCAACCTTGCCAGGGCGGTGGTCTACAGGGTACTGGACAAGGTGACCCTCCAGGCCCCACGAGCCCACCCGAGAGCGTGGTTCGGCGACATCAGCACCACGGTCTACGGCAGCGCAGCAGCGGTGGAGTCCACCATCGTGGAGGCCACGGACAAGCGAGAGAGTGCCCTTGATGACGAAGGGCTTTAATTGGCAGACGAAAGCGTGATCATCTCGTCCGACTGGGCCATGACCAAGAGGATCACGGCCAGGCTCAAGAGGAAGGGTATCGACATCAGAACCGCCCAAGGGGCCCGAGACCTGGGCATCGACAGAGCGGCGAGGGGTGTCAGACAGAGAGCGATACAGACCGAAGGCTTATAATCGCATGACCTCGCTAGGCAAAACAACTACGACGGCTACGACGAGAGAGAAAAATGGCCATGCTGAACCAGGGCGCCATGCCCGCCCTGATGTACGGCATCAATGCACAAGGGGAGGCCCCAATTGCCATACGCCTAGCGCGGCAGCGCTACGTGGCAGCGCTGGCTCCCCCGAGGCCTGGCAGATGTTCTACTACCTTCCTCAAGCTGGAAGGCAAAGACCCAGCTTTGGAACTGCCGCGGGCTCAGCTCAGGGCATGGTTCGATTTATATGCACATCGCGAGGATCTTCGAGAACTTATCAATGGTGTTTGGTCCAGAATTTATGACAGGCTGAAAAGGTCCCTCCCGCAAAACCGTTGGAGACAAAGAAGAAGAGTTGCCGGAGCATTGATCCTAACTCTCTGGGAAGCTGGCTGGGACCCAGTACAGGCAACACTTTGGAAGGATCCCAGAGGCGACGACTGTGAGATGAAGCCAGAAGCTGCAGACAGGACCCCCTCGACAATTATCGACACAATTGTTGCAGACATCGAGACACAGCCTTGGCAAGCAGCAGCAAGGGGATTCAACGCGAGAGGGATAGAACACGGTGTTGATGTGGCGGATGCGATGCGGACGCTCAAGAGACTAAGAAGTACCAACAGGCTACCAGAGGCGAGCGCGCTGCTGACAGCCATGACTGCTGGTACATGGACTCCAGCAAGAAAGGCGGACCTCTTTGGCGAGGAACACGCAAGCAATGGTTTGTGTGCGTGCGGCAAGAGAGCTGACGACTTTCATCGGATCTGGGAGGATTGCAGGACGAGGCCAGAGCATCCAGATTTCGAGAAGTCGCAGAACCTGCTGGACATGGCTCAAGCAGGGCAGCACAACTACCCATGTATGTGGTTACGAGGCCTGCCGCCGAGGAGCTGGACGACGCCGCCTGAGTGCGACGCGGAGTTCACGGAGAGGCTCTTCGGGGAGGCCTTGAACCTGCCGAGGGTCGTCGCCACCAACGGGCCGCTGCTGGTCTGCGGCGACGGCAGCGGAGGGGCGAACGCGGACGACGACAGGTACAGGCTCTGCGGATGGGCGTGGGTGGCGCTCGACCGCTCCAGCCCATTCGCACCTGCGCTACGAGGAGGAGCGCAGGGGCCGCTGGCTGGCCCGAAGCAGACCAACAACAGGGCCGAGCTCACGGCGCTGCTGTCAGCCTTCCAGCACACTGAGGGCCCGATGGACTTCTGGACGGACTCGAAGGTGTTGTACAAGGGCTGGCGGAGAGAGAGGGCGGCACACCCGCCCTGGCGGATTGAGCGCCCACGGCGACCTTGGGGGGCAGATGAAGACCGCGCTCCAGGAGCGAGGGCAGGCGGAGGTGCAGGTCTACTTCATGAGCAGCCACCAGACAGCGCTCGAGGCATAGGCCAAAGGCTTTCCCACGGCAGCGT